AGTCGATGTGACAGTGCCTGTCGGCAAACCTGTTCAAACAAATGCAAAACACACATATTTGTATTGGTCGACGTGTAATATGTTGATGTTAGCCTGAGTACTACGGACCAATAATAGCTGATTACTCTACTACTACTACTACTACTACCGAGCTGTAGTCTGTCGGGCTGGAAGATGGCGTTCGCCAGCTGACACACAACAACTCTTCAATGTAGACAGTCCACACGCTAATGTGAGGTAGAGTAGACTGGCCTTTGAGGACGACTCTAAGTTCCAATCAGTGTTCCAACATTGAAGTAGAACAACTGTGTTTACACAGTGACACTTATCAGAGACCTTGGATCGCACACACACACACACACACAAACAATGAACACGAAAACCGCGGATGTCACTGAAGTAATATCGATTCGACGAATGTTGCCGAGATTATCCTTCAAACAATGAACTAGCTCTCCTCTACATGCCGATTCACTGATCACATTTGAGAAAACTACCGCAAATCAAAACAACACAACACGATCACCAAAACACACACACACACAACACCGTGCACGATATGTCAGAAACACCGAAAATCATGAACATTAGTGCATCGCATGTGACTTCTGGAAACCCACACATACCACACGCACCATCACCTGCCAGCAAGCGTGCGAGTCAGGCGAGACAAACCACATGTGCACCGACGCACAATTATCGCAGTGAACATTCAACCCACCTGACATTATCCCCTCACATACATCTGCAGAAAACAGACATGGTCAGACGAGCTAGGGAGTTACTGGCTGATAAGCAATGTTGTCGCTGCTCACCTATCTTGACAGCACCACAGTGTATACACTCACTGAACAACCACGATATTATTATTATTGTCACAATTATTATTATTACTAATATTATTATTATTATTATTATTATTATTATTAATATTATCCGGAAATTGTTCCAGAACAGACAATGACTTACTAGAGACTGTGATGTTTCTGACATTTGGTCCACTCGTGATATTGAGCAGTCTGCAACCACGAACCAGACTCTCGGTGAGATCAGTCTCAGTTGGTTGTGATCCACGTGGCGATCGCACCTGCACACTGACAATCGCACGCACAGCTTCGATTGACACACGACCGGCACCAGTGTCTGTACCAGTTTGCATGACACCGTCGATCCAGATTATGATCCGAATGAACACCACACGGACACAGGTGGCACCTCGAGAGATCTCCTCATTACCAAGACGCAGGCCGTTCAAAAGCTACAACGTTCAAAACAAAATCAAAACAACACACAATCAGTCATTGAATCGTTCGTCGGTTCGTTCGTTGGTTCGTTCGCTCGTTCATTCGTTCGTTTAGTCGGTCGGTCGATCTGCCATGTATGAATAACACAACTAAAATCACCAATCGGATCAGTATGAACAAGTGATCACGTTCGCCAACATCATCATTATCTAAATCATCGTGACTAAATGCATGACTACCACTGTGGATGTGAGTGATCGGTGGTCCGTGGCCACTGGTTTACTCACTCCACTAACCGATGATACACACAATGACCAGTGTGAACATCTCTCTATTCACCGACTGATCACTACCACCTTCAATATCACTGACATGACCAATTATTCAACGTTAGCTGACACAACTAATTACCGGCTCATACGAATAATTGCTCACTTACCTACTTGCTTACTTGCTTCTCTGCTTACATATATGCTATATAAATGCTGACTCACTTGTTTGCTGTATTCTTGAATCCATTGTTTACTTATTTACTTTGTGACTTACTTCGTTTCTTACTTAATTACTGGTCTACACACCTACTGAATAACTCAGTTTGTGCATCCAGCACCTCATTCACTTATCGAATTGCATTCATTTATAGCCCCCACTCCTGAAAATGTTTTTACTCTGTTCATTTCACACAACCGTTTGTCCAGTACACTGTTGCGATTCGAACAGTCAAAACAGTGCTTCTCTGAGTATCGCGTATGTCGGCACGCTTATAACAACAACAGCAAAATGGAGATCACGAGTGTACACTCACCAGGTCGCAAATTGACGTGGACAAATTCCTGTACATGGTACTTGACTCATTCGACAGATCAGCTGACCAATTCATGGGCAATGACCTCTCTTCAATGTAGATCAAAATATCCACCTGGAACACGGAGATTTCTGCAAGTGGAAACCAATGAAACCATACATAACAAGGATGATGACAATTATATCAATAATATCATTGAAAATATTAATAATACTGATAATAATGCTAATACTAATACCACGAATAATAATAATAATAATAATAATAATAATAATAACAATAATAATAATGACATTGTTGATATATTGGCAATAGTAAAAGTGATAGCAATTGTAGTAATAACACTGATAATTGCAGTGACAATAATGCGAAGATCAGTGCACACATCTGCATGACGATGATGCTGATCGTGAACATGAAGACAATGTTCAGATGGATGAGTTGATGTTGCTGGTGATGCTCATTGGTATAATAATTTGACAAATGTTTCCGTTTGACTAGTATTCCAGTTAGTCCAATAGTTTATCAGTATTCGAGAGAACGAACGAACAATTATTCAAACAAGTATGTGAATGGATGAATGAATGAATGAATGACTGAGAGGATGATTGGATGATTGGATGAGATGATGAGTGGATGTGTGTGTGTGTGTGTGTGCGAATAATCATGTGAGTGAAGCAACTAACGCAATGTGCACAACCACACTTTATTTGGTTTAACTGTTGATGATAGTTGGAATGAAACGTGTACAGTTGTTGTTGATGATATGCAAAATAATGTGAACTTACCGAAGGTGGATGCAGTAGTAGTTGATGACGGGCTGGTCACTCGCACAGTCGACCTGGCTGTGGTGGTCTCTGTGGAAGTGGTCGTGGTCGTGGTCGGTAGCTTGAATTCTGTCGAGACACTAGTTTGTGTTGGTTCGAGACCGTCAGTCGATGTCACAGTACCTGTTGGCAAACCTGTTCAAACAAATGCAAAACACACATATTTGTATTGGTCGACGAGTAATATGTTGATGTTAGCCTGAGTACTACGGACCAATAATAGCTGATTACTCTACTACTACTACTACTACCGAGCTGTAGTCTGTCGGGCTGGAAGATGGCGTTCGCCAGCTGACACACAACAACTCTTCAATGTAGACAGTCCACACGCTAATGTGAGGTAGAGTAGACTGGCCTTTGAGGACGACTCTAAGTTCCAATCAGTGTTCCAACATTGAAGTAGAACAACTGTGTTTACACAGTGACACTTATCAGAGACCTTGGATCGCACACACACACACACACACAAACAATGAACACGAAAACCGCGGATGTCACTGAAGTAATATCGATTCGACGAATGTTGCCGAGATTATCCTTCAAACAATGAACTAGCTCTCCTCTACATGCCGATTCACTGATCACATTTGAGAAAACTACCGCAAATCAAAACAACACAACACGATCACCAAAACACACACACACACAACACCGTGCACGATATGTCAGAAACACCGAAAATCATGAACATTAGTGCATCGCATGTGACTTCTGGAAACCCACACATACCACACGCACCATCACCTGCCAGCAAGCGTGCGAGTCAGGCGAGACAAACCACATGTGCACCGACGCACAATTATCGCAGTGAACATTCAACCCACCTGACATTATCCCCTCACATACATCTGCAGAAAACAGACATGGTCAGACGAGCTAGGGAGTTACTGGCTGATAAGCAATGTTGTCGCTGCTCACCTATCTTGACAGCACCACAGTGTATACACTCACTGAACAACCACGATATTATTATTATTGTCACAATTATTATTATTACTAATATTATTATTATTATTATTATTATTATTAATATTATCCGGAAATTGTTCCAGAACAGACAATGACTTACTAGAGACTGTGATGTTTCTGACATTTGGTCCACTCGTGATATTGAGCAGTCTGCAACCACGAACCAGACTCTCGGTGAGATCAGTCTCAGTTGGTTGTGATCCACGTGGCGATCGCACCTGCACACTGACAATCGCACGCACAGCTTCGATTGACACACGACCGGCACCAGTGTCTGTACCAGTTTGCATGACACCGTCGATCCAGATTATGATCCGAATGAACACCACACGGACACAGGTGGCACCTCGAGAGATCTCCTCATTACCAAGACGCAGGCCGTTCAAAAGCTACAACGTTCAAAACAAAATCAAAACAACACACAATCAGTCATTGAATCGTTCGTCGGTTCGTTCGTTGGTTCGTTCGCTCGTTCATTCGTTCGTTTAGTCGGTCGGTCGATCTGCCATGTATGAATAACACAACTAAAATCACCAATCGGATCAGTATGAACAAGTGATCACGTTCGCCAACACCATCATTATCTAAATCATCGTGACTAAATGCATGACTACCACTGTGGATGTGAGTGATCGGTGGTCCGTGGCCACTGGTTTACTCACTCCACTAACCGATGATACACACAATGACCAGTGTGAACATCTCTCTATTCACCGACTGATCACTACCACCTTCAATATCACTGACATGACCAATTATTCAACGTTAGCTGACACAACTAATTACCGGCTCATACGAATAATTGCTCACTTACCTACTTGCTTACTTGCTTCTCTGCTTACATATATGCTATATAAATGCTGACTCACTTGTTTGCTGTATTCTTGAATCCATTGTTTACTTATTTACTTTGTGACTTACTTCGTTTCTTACTTAATTACTGGTCTACACACCTACTGAATAACTCAGTTTGTGCATCCAGCACCTCATTCACTTATCGAATTGCATTCATTTATAGCCCTCACTCCTGAAAATGTTTTTACTCTGTTCATTTCACACAACCGTTTGTCCAGTACACTGTTGCGATTCGAACAGTCAAAACAGTGCTTCTCTGAGTATCGCGTATGTCGGCACGCTTATAACAACAACAGCAAAATGGAGATCACGAGTGTACACTCACCAGGTCGCAAATTGACGTGGACAAATTCCTGTACATGGTACTTGACTCATTCGACAGATCAGCTGACCAATTCATGGGCAATGACCTCTCTTCAATGTAGATCAAAATATCCACCTGGAACACGGAGATTTCTGCAAGTGGAAACCAATGAAACCATACATAACAAGGATGATGACAATTATATCAATAATATCATTGAAAATATTAATAATACTGATAATAATGCTAATACTAATACCACGAATAATAATAATAATAATAATAATAATAATAATAATAACAATAATAATAATGACATTGTTGATATATTGGCAATAGTAAAAGTGATAGCAATTGTAGTAATAACACTGATAATTGCAGTGACAATAATGCGAAGATCAGTGCACACATCTGCATGACGATGATGCTGATCGTGAACATGAAGACAATGTTCAGATGGATGAGTTGATGTTGCTGGTGATGCTCATTGGTATAATAATTTGACAAATGTTTCCGTTTGACTAGTATTCCAGTTAGTCCAATAGTTTATCAGTATTCGAGAGAACGAACGAACAATTATTCAAACAAGTATGTGAATGGATGAATGAATGAATGAATGACTGAGAGGATGATTGGATGATTGGATGAGATGATGAGTGGATGTGTGTGTGTGTGTGTGTGCGAATAATCATGTGAGTGAAGCAACTAACGCAATGTGCACAACCACACTTTATTTGGTTTAACTGTTGATGATAGTTGGAATGAAACGTGTACAGTTGTTGTTGAAGATATGCAAAATAATGTGAACTTACCGAAGGTGGATGCAGTAGTAGTTGATGACGGGCTGGTCACTCGCACAGTCGACCTGGCTGTGGTGGTCTCTGTGGAAGTGGTCGTGGTCGTGGTCGGTAGCTTGAATTCTGTCGAGACACTAGTTTGTATTGGTTCGAGACCGTCAGTCGATGTGACAGTGCCTGTTGGCAAACCTGTTCAAACAAATGCAAAACACACATATTTGTATTGGTCGACGAGTAATATGTTGATGTTAGCCTGAGTACTACGGACCAATAATAGCTGATTACTCTACTACTACTACTACTACCGAGCTGTAGTCTGTCGGGCTGGAAGATGGCGTTCGCCAGCTGACACACAACAACTCTTCAATGTAGACAGTCCACACGCTAATGTGAGGTAGAGTAGACTGGCCTTTGAGGACGACTCTAAGTTCCAATCAGTGTTCCAACATTGAAGTAGAACAACTGTGTTTACACAGTGACACTTATCAGAGACCTTGGATCGCACACACACACACACACAAACAATGAACACGAAAACCGCGGATGTCACTGAAGTAATATCGATTCGACGAATGTTGCCGAGATTATCCTTCAAACAATGAACTAGCTCTCCTCTACATGCCGATTCACTGATCACATTTGAGAAAACTACCGCAAATCAAAACAACACAACACGATCACCAAAACACACACACACACAACACCGTGCACGATATGTCAGAAACACCGAAAATCATGAACATTAGTGCATCGCATGTGACTTCTGGAAACCCACACATACCACACGCACCATCACCTGCCAGCAAGCGTGCGAGTCAGGCGAGACAAACCACATGTGCACCGACGCACAATTATCGCAGTGAACATTCAACCCACCTGACATTATCTCCCTCACATACATCTGCAGAAAACAGACATGGTCAGACGAGCTAGGGAGTTACTGGCTGATAAGCAATGTTGTCGCTGCTCACCTATCTTGACAGCACCACAGTGTATACACTCACTGAACAACCACGATATTATTATTATTGTCACAATTATTATTATTACTAATATTATTATTATTATTATTATTATTATTATTAATATTATCCGGAAATTGTTCCAGAACAGACAATGACTTACTAGAGACTGTGATGTTTCTGACATTTGGTCCACTCGTGATATTGAGCAGTCTGCAACCACGAACCAGACTCTCGGTGAGATCAGTCTCAGTTGGTTGTGATCCACGTGGCGATCGCACCTGCACACTGACAATCGCACGCACAGCTTCGATTGACACACGACCGGCACCAGTGTCTGTACCAGTTTGCATGACACCGTCGATCCAGATTATGATCCGAATGAACACCACACGGACACAGGTGGCACCTCGAGAGATCTCCTCATTACCAAGACGCAGGCCGTTCAAAAGCTACAACGTTCAAAACAAAATCAAAACAACACACAATCAGTCATTGAATCGTTCGTCGGTTCGTTCGTTGGTTCGTTCGCTCGTTCATTCGTTCGTTTAGTCGGTCGGTCGATCTGCCATGTATGAATAACACAACTAAAATCACCAATCGGATCAGTATGAACAAGTGATCACGTTCGCCAACACCATCATTATCTAAATCATCGTGACTAAATGCATGACTACCACTGTGGATGTGAGTGATCGGTGGTCCGTGGCCACTGGTTTACTCACTCCACTAACCGATGATACACACAATGACCAGTGTGAACATCTCTCTATTCACCGACTGATCACTACCACCTTCAATATCACTGACATGACCAATTATTCAACGTTAGCTGACACAACTAATTACCGGCTCATACGAATAATTGCTCACTTACCTACTTGCTTACTTGCTTCTCTGCTTACATATATGCTATATAAATGCTGACTCACTTGTTTGCTGTATTCTTGAATCCATTGTTTACTTATTTACTTTGTGACTTACTTCGTTTCTTACTTAATTACTGGTCTACACACCTACTGAATAACTCAGTTTGTGCATCCAGCACCTCATTCACTTATCGAATTGTATTCATTTATAGCCCCCACTCCTGAAAATGTTTTTACTCTGTTCATTTCACACAACCGTTTGTCCAGTACACTGTTGCGATTCGAACAGTCAAAACAGTGCTTCTCTGAGTATCGCGTATGTCGGCACGCTTATAACAACAACAGCAAAATGGAGATCACGAGTGTACACTCACCAGGTCGCAAATTGACGTGGACAAATTCCTGTACATGGTACTTGACTCATTCGACAGATCAGCTGACCAATTCATGGGCAATGACCTCTCTTCAATGTAGATCAAAATATCCACCTGGAACACGGAGATTTCTGCAAGTGGAAACCAATGAAACCATACATAACAAGGATGATGACAATTATATCAATAATATCATTGAAAATATTAATAATACTGATAATAATGCTAATACTAATACCACGAATAATAATAATAATAATAATAATAATAACAATAATAATAATGACATTGTTGATATATTGGCAATAGTAAAAGTGATAGCAATTGTAGTAATAACACTGATAATTGCAGTGACAATAATGCGAAGATCAGTGCACACATCTGCATGACGATGATGCTGATCGTGAACATGAAGACCATGTTCAGATGGATGAGTTGATGTTGCTGGTGATGCTCATTGGTATAATAATTTGACAAATGTTTCCGTTTGACTAGTATTCCAGTTAGTCCAATAGTTTATCAGTATTCGAGAGAACGAACGAACAATTATTCAAACAAGTATGTGAATGGATGAATGAATGAATGAATGACTGAGAGGATGATTGGATGATTGGATGAGATGATGAGTGGATGTGTGTGTGTGTGTGTGTGCGAATAATCATGTGAGTGAAGCAACTAACGCAATGTGCACAACCACACTTTATTTGGTTTAACTGTTGATGATAGTTGGAATCAAACGTGTACACTTGTTGATGATATGCAAAATAATGTGAACTTACCGAAGGTGGATGCAGTAGTAGTTGATGACGGGCTGGTCACTCGCACAGTCGACCTGGCTGTGGTGGTCTCTGTGGAAGTGGTCGTGGTCGTGGTCGGTAGCCTGAATTCTGTCGAGACACTAGTTTGTGTTGGTTCGAGACCGTCAGTCGATGTCACAGTACCTGTTGGCAAACCTGTTCAAACAAATGCAAAACACACATATTTGTATTGGTCGACGTGTAATATGTTGATGTTAGCCTGAGTACTACGGACCAATAATAGCTGATTACTCTACTACTACTACTACTACTACTACTACTACTGCTACTACTACTACTACTACTACTACTACTACTACTACTACTACTACTACTACTACTACTACTACTACTACTACTACTACCGAGCTGAAGTCTGTCGGAGTGGAAGCTGGCGTTCGCCAGCTGACACACAACAACTCTTCAATGTAGACAGTCCACACGCTAATGTGAGGTAGAGTAGACTGGCCTTTGAGGACGACTCTAAATTCCAATCAGTGTTCCAACATTGAAGTAGAACAACTGTGTTTACACAGTGCCACTCATCAGAGACCTTGGATCGCACACACACACACACACAAACAATGAACACGAAAACCGCGGATGTCACTGAAGTAATATCGATTCGACGAATGTTGCCGAGATTATCCTTCAAACAATGAACTAGCTCTCCTCTACATGCCGATTCACTGATCACATTTGAGAAAACTACCGCAAATCAAAACAACACAACACGATCACCAAAACACACACACACACAACACCGTGCACGATATGTCAGAAACACCGAAAATCATGAACATTAGTGCATCGCATGTGACTTCTGGAAACCCACACATACCACACGCACCATCATCTGCCAGCAAGCGTGCGAGTCAGGCGAGACAAACCACATGTGCACCGACGCACAATTATCGCAGTGAACATTCAACCCACCTGACATTATCTCCTCACATACATCTGCAGAAAACAGACATGGTCAGACGAGCTAGGGAGTTACTGGCTGATAAGCAGTGTTGTCGCTGCTCACCTATCTTGACAGCACCACAGTGTATACACTCACTGAACAACCACGATATTATTATTATTGTCACAATTTTTATTATGATTAATATTATCCGGAAATTGTTCCAGAACAGACAATGAATTACTAGAGACTGCAACATCATCTATTTTATTAACCGTTTCGGCGGTGTTGATGTGACGTGTCTTTGCAGGTGACCGAATACCACATGTTCGGCTACCGTGTGCAAAGATCGTTTGCGCGCACAACTGGTCAGTCGCATACTAGAACGACACACATGTACACAGTCATCATGTTTCTAAGTGTGGTCTCGCATAATAGAACAGTTCAAAATTTGTACGAAAAACTATTCATAAACAGGGAAATAATAAAAATTCATTAATTCACCTTGTGAAAGTTCCGTTTTCATTTCAGTTGTTTTGATTGCAGGTGATTCAGTTGTTTGAAGAATCGGCGTTCTATCTGTCCTAGTCATGGTTGATGATGTTTGAATTTTTGTGGGATCAGTTGAAATTCCTATGATGGAATAGGATTTAAAAGGTGATAGTATAGATCAGATCGATATTTAACGAAAAAACCAAATTGTTTGCTTAAAA